TAATGAGAGTTTACTCCAAATTTTTTTTTGGAGGGAAGGAAATTTTTACTGTTTAGAGGCCCTATTGGTCTTAATCCGCCGCTAGACTCAGAATTATTATAATTCGCATGATTCACGAAATTGTTTCCCCTTCTTGAAATTATTATGATTTCCGTCGTCCATATTTTGTAGAGATGTTCACTGCATACTGAATATTTTCAGTTGGTTTCAGAAATTCTACCCAGCGGCATGTATGCTAAGTTATTTATTTCCCACGAACGTCTCGCTCGCCTTTGTTTCCGCAGTAATATTTTCACGGAGGAAATGCACGTTATCCCTGTGCTCCCACTGCAAATAGATAAGCCCGGTAAAAAATCGCCCACTCTCCTCGAGCGTTTAAAACCGCGTAATCTTCAACCGAGGAAATAATCTACCAGGTGAATCATGTCGGTAATAATGAAAGGTGAAAACTTCCGAGCAACCTAATTTGCCTTTTCTCGCCTTTATTTGAAATCAGAATCATCGAAACACGGACACTGGTTCGTAGCAACCATTCTTTGAATCGACGCACAGTGGCCCGAATCGCGAAAAAGGTAGCTAAAATATGAAGATCATTTTTTATTTTCATGAAATTTGGTTTACTATGGTTTTCAAGGTCGTTGAATTCAAATCCGAAGTCGAAATTGCAAAAGACAAAATGGCAGATCCAAAATAGAATTCGCACATGTCAGAAAAATGTCCAATTCAGCCTAAATTTAATATATAAGGGTTTTTAAGGTCGTTGAATTCGAATCTGAAGTCGAAATTGCAAAAAAGAAGATGGCGGATCCAAAATAGGGTTCGCACGTATAAAAAAAAAATGTCCAATTCAGCCTAAATTTGATATATACGGGTTTTTAAGGTCGTTGAATTCGAATCTGAAATCGAAATTACAAAAAACGAAATGGCAGATCCAAAATAGGATTCGCACATGTCAGAAAAATGCCCAATTCAGCCTAAATTTTATATATAAGGGTTTTTAAGGTCGTTGAATTCAAATCTAAAAACGAAATAACGAAAAACAAAATACCGGACTCAAGATATTGGTCGTACATATGAAAAAAATGTCAATCTGAGCCTAAATGTGAACTGAAGATATTTATTATTGCGTAAAATAAATTAAAAACGTAGACCAGCCAATATCCTACAGAAAAATTGGCCGATTATAGTAACAGATAAATGAATTGCAACAATTAAATGAAATTGGATCGAGATGAGACTGCAGGATTCGAAACGACGCATTGTGTCGGTTCAGTGGAATAAATGGAAGTTGGAACGAGACCGGCGTCGCTAACAACGTTGTGTGAAAAAATCGGTGAAAGATTATCGGTCGGCATCGTAAATTATCGTTCCGTGGGGCAATCTCGTGACGCGCGGTTAACCGCCGCGTGCCGTTCCGTTCGACTCATTTAAACGCGTGAATTGCGCTTTGTACGCGACTACCCCGTCCACAAGATTTCCGCTCGAATTCGCCTCCGGTGATTCTGATCTGAACGAGCGTCGCGAGGAACGTCACCGACTAATTAAAAACTACAATGCTTAACACCAGCGTTCCTAAATTCATATAAATTTTCCTGCTCAAGGAACTCATTCTATATACACCAATACCTCGCTTTGCGTCGTTTCGTTTTGCGTTTTTTCGAAGTTGCGTCGCTGCTTAACAC